AAACAGCAAATCTTTAAAAAGTAGTTAATTCACTTTCAGAAGAAATGTAATTTTCCCATTACTATGAATTTAGTCAATTTATTAAAAATATTACTTTTACTAATTAATGTTGAGCCAATATATAATATATATAACTTCGGTAAATACTTCAAACCTATATAGAATACTTTGCTAGTCCTGAATGATGAATGATATCATTATAGGGATGGACAGAAACTTAATTAACAATTTTCAAAAGAGCAAAAAGCATCTACAATATGAGGATTTGCTGTTCGTTTTCTTGGACTTTGTTCATTTTTGTGATTGTGAACAGGTAATTTTTTATTTTCACTATTCATTGGCATTTATAGAACTAAATGAATTACTCAGTTAATGAAAGATATCAAACAGAATGTTATTATTATTATTATTTCTTGAGGAAACGCACAAAGACCCACATTTACATAAACAACCTCGTCTCTGTCTTGCTGCTATCCTCTGTCAAGTCTTGAAAGTGATTTATGTGATTTCTGTTGGAACTTCTCTGGCGTTGTCACTCAGTTTATATAGTCTACTTTTAATTCACGTGGATTTAAGGCTTCAAGAAAGCCTGGCAAGTTGGGTTAAGATTGTTTCCCCCAAACACACACACACACACACACACACACCACCACACACACACACACAACACACACAAACAAAAACAGTCCAAACATACTCATCTCTCATCTACATCTCTCAAGGTCTTTTTGTATCTTTAGTCCTTTATACAAGCTGACAGATGTCCCATTAATTATGAATTTCCCTTCCCTCTTTTCCCCCCTCCCCAAATACACACACGCACACACACACCTGGCAGCAAGGTCAAGTTATACCTGATACAGTGAGCCCTGCACAAAACACACTCGCACACATTCACAGATGTGCATCATACACACTAATAGGAAAGAAGTAAAAAAAAAGATCAGCATCAGTTGCATTGTTTATTCACTGACTCACTATAGCTACTATTACACACACACACACAACAACACACACACACAAACACGTCATGTGCTTTTTTTGCATTATATTGCTTCACACTGTTTATCCTGTGTCATGTTGGTGAGGTGGTGTGTATTTGTTTGTGTAGTTTGTGTGTGTGTGTGTCCATAGAAAACAAGACAGGCTACAAAAACACAATGTATTATCTTCTCTAAACACACACATAGTGACAGGTTGGTATGAATGTTAACTAGGTGATGGTGTTGTTGTCGTCTGGTGACCTGACGTATATGCTGCTTAATGAACGATGGATGACAATAAGACTCGCCTCTCGCTTCGATTATTGAGGCCAAGTGAGCTGTGTTGTGGTATCACATTTTACGGTCAACTTTTTGCGTTCAGTTATAATCTTGGTCACCTTTTTCTCCTTTTCTCCACATCCAAAGTAAAGCGCAACTAAAGCTTCACATTTCTCCTCTGCTTCCTGTCCTGAAGCTGCTCCTTCTCTCTTTATCTTTACACCTTTTTCTGATTGCTGATGCTCCTCTCTCCCTCCTTCCCTGTTCCTCTCTCCAGCCATATAGGGCCCCTGGGGTTTCTGTATGTGTGTGCGTGTGTGTTTGTCTCTGTGCTAATTGACCTTGCAGGGGGTTCCATTGATTGCCTCATCTTCTCTGATAGATTATAGGGGCTGTTAATGTGGTGGGGAAATGGCAGCGTGGTGGGGCACAGCTGTTGTCACACACACAATCACAATCACGCACACACTGTGCCTCTGCAACCAGGTCTTCCACAATTATCATTTTCCTTGTTGAGACAGTGGGATAGACACCGGGGCTGCAGAGTCGGCGAGATGCAGGAGTGAATGTGGGATTTGATCCAAAGCCAGCAGGTGCTCGTGTTTGCTTTTGCTTTGGGGGTAAAATGGCACGCCTACCAGAGAACTGTTTTTTTCTTTTATTGTAGCTCTGAATTTGTTGTGGTTGTGTTAGTCAGCAGTTACCCTCATGACTTTTAAAGGAGTGGTCATTCGTCAGAAAAGAGTCACCTCTGACACTAAATCACTGTGTGGATACAGATGAATTTTATTGGTTATACTAAGAGTCATGTGAGAGTGTTGGTGACACTTATTTATTCTACAGCTGATATTTTTTTTATGGTTGTGTATGGAAATTATGGGAAGTCTTTTTGGATCCAGTGTGCAAATCACCTCATCAACCTAAAGCCCAGTGCTATTCCTGGGAGCTTGGTTGAGGGTGGCTATCCCATCATGCATTTGGTGAGAGGCAGGGTTCACATTGGACAGGTAGTGAGTCTATCACTGAGCCCAGTAATACTGTGCTACCCAGCAATATTTTCCTCAGACAATAAATCTATCTTTTCCCAAAATGTTGTTCTAACCCTAATCATACTCCCTATGAACAGAGAGGGCTGCATTACAAAAACAAACCAAAAAGAATCTCTTTATTATCCCCTCAGTTTAGTTTTTAAATAATCTCTTGACACTTCAGAAAACACGTGTTTCACTAGCATTTTGCTAACAAGTAGACCCGAGAAGTTCTGTCTCAACCCAAATGAATGTTGTCTGATTCCTGCTGACAACAGAGGCGTGTATTTAGGTTTTCTTCACCAGTAGGATAGAACTCAAGTGCCACAAATTGCTTTAGAGGAGCTGCACGCACCGTTCTTTTCAGCGTATAATCATTGTGATTGTTACTGTGGTACAGCCAAGACTACAGAATTTAAGTCCAAAATATCACTTAAATTAAGCAGTTATAATGTGCATCGACTGACACTAATCAGACCATTTGAAGATGATTAAATTGGACTTAAAGTCCTGCGAAATCTTAGTGAAACAACTGTTTGTTGCCTCCTTAACATGTTTTATTCAGATTCAGGAGGGCTTGTCTCCCAACCACCTGAAGAAGGCCAAGCTGATGTTCTTCTACACCCGCTACCCTTCCTCCAACATGCTCAAAATGTTCTTCTCTGACGTCAAGGTAAGTCTTTGCCCAGTCCTTACTTCTTCCTAGTGTTTCTCTACTATCCATTCTCTCATCACTGTTATATTTGTCATATGTGGGTCTATATTTAAGTATTTATTTCTCTCCAGATTGTGGGAGATAAATAAGTTCTCAGCAAGGGTTTAAAACAATGAAATATACAGCTTAAACTTAATATAAACAGACTCGTTTACACAATGAACTGAAAAGCAGCAAATAAATGAATGATGGGTGCAAAAAAGTGCAAAGAAAAGACAGAGAGGTAATCTTTCTCTACTCTGATTTAGTTTTTGACTTGATAAGCTAAAGCTACATCATTGTTTACTGGACATACTTCTCATTTGAGACACACATAACAGAAAGACATGATTTTGCTCAAGTTCCTCTTGGATATGCAGAACTATATATGGTTTTAGTGTAGTTATAGATATAGGTCAGATTTGCATTGTAGATTTGAATTGAGTCATGTTGAGATCAAATCCACAATGTGCATGTATACAATTGTAAGGAGATAGGAAAAAGTGACTCATACTCTGGCTTGAATAGACGAGTGATAAGAGAAGCCTTGCAGTCACGATCAGGTTGAGTGTGGACACAAAATGATGGGAATTCAATTGGAATCAGATCTCAAAAATCACACCAGTGTGTTTTTCAGTGACAGATGGGGCAGATGAGCTGTTGTAAACAGGTGTGCGTCTTTGTGTGAAGCATTTGGGTTTTACATTTGGTTACAGATTGTTTTTGTTTTTTTTCCTGATCTCATTTCTCTCCTCACCAACTTTCACTCTCCGATAGCCTCACAGTCATCAGTTTCTGACTTTTGTGCATTTTGCTGTGCGTTATTATTCAGTTTGGTTGTTTGTGTATGTTATTCCGTTACTGTGTGTGTGTGTGTGTGTTGGTGTTGGTGTGTGTGTGGTGTGTGTGTGTGGTGGTGTGGTGTGGTGTGTGTGTGTGGGTGAGCCCCTATAGCCGCAGATGGGGTTGCTTCCAGTCGTCACGTCTTTCGCTAGCTATTGAATTTACAGTTTCTGGGCCTTTAATCGGCCTCGGGTTGCAGGGGGGTGTTACAAGTAACCGCCCACTTTCACTCGGTCAACACATACTGTAACCCGCCCCCCCAAACCACACACACAGTCTGATCTCAACCTCTCTATACAGCAGCGCTTTCACTCTCACTCTCACTCACATAAAATGAGAAGTTGAAGTTTTCTTTTAACACAGAAACACGACTAATAATCACAGTCTAAGTGTTGATTTAACTGATGACAGGATGCACAGGTAGAAATAAAGAAAAAGGAATAAAAATGGATGAATGAAAAATAAAATGAAGTCAGTAAGAAATATGAAAAGAGTAAGTGGCAAGAGAAGAAAAATGAGTTAGAAGGGAAAAGGAGATGATGGAGAGTGTGTGTGTTTGCATTTGGGGGGGGGGGTGTTGAGAAAATGACAGAGGGAGCGAGGGGAGGACAAACAAATGAAAGGGATGACAACAGAACAACAGCTTCAAAACAAAGGCGCTGATTGTTTTGTGTTTACAGGCTGCTACGTGTTTTGCAAAGGAGCATACGGCTCCTCTACAGATTCAGGACACTGTATTCAAATGAGCAGCACACGCATCACACACATAAACACACACACACACACACACACACACCAGCTGCCCTTTGGCTCATATCTGTGGTGACCACTTCCTCGTGGCAGTGCCACATCCTCATCGGGTGCCATGGCAACAAGGGTCGCTGGGACACCAGGTTGCTAGGCAAACACAAGGTTGCTAAGCCTACCTGCTCCCAGTATGTGTGTCTGATTTGTCATTAACTTGGAGTCCATTAAGTGTTAAAAATTGGTATCATAGTATACATAGCTGTTTAGTGTGATTGAGAAAATAAAAGCGGCTAATATTGAATTTAATCAACTACTTATTAAAAATCTGACAAAGCAACATGCTTTAAAACTTTTTAATCCCTCCAAAAAGTCAAATTTTTCCCAGAAATCATCATTTAAATAAGAGTGACGGGAATGCTTTTTTGTCAAGTGATGATGTTTAGAAATAAAACTAAAACAAATTAAATCTGAGACACTCCTTCAGCTGTAAACCTTAAAAGGTTTCCAAGAATCTCTTTGTTAATATAAACACTGTATCATCTTCAGGCTAAATACAATGTAATACACACACACTGCAAACTGGAAAAAGAAAACTGTTATGTGCTGACATTGATCATTTTCCATAATCAGCTTACTTATCATGTCTAAGTCATACTTTCAGTTATCTGAGTAAATATGCTTAATATTTATGTGGCTTTGGGGTTTAATTTGGAGAAAGAATAAATTAGGACTAATGAGTTAATGCATAGGCTCAGTGTATGAGTTTATCTTTTGGAGATTGATATTAGCTTTTAAAATTAATCTAGTCTCCAACCTGTGGGTTTATCTCCAAACTGATATTCAATTAATCTCTTCATCTCAACAAACATGGATTTAGATTAGGAGATATTTGCAGTGCTTTGGCCTGCCACTTGGCTCAGCAGATGGACAGCATTACAGGCTCGATCTGTAACCGAAGGGAGAACCACAAACAGTGGGATTTATCGGAATGGAAACAGTTTTCTATTGGAATTTCACATATGAGCTGTGGGACTGACAGCGATGGCTTCACGTGAGCTTTTTATTCTGTAGACGAAGAAAAACGGGTTTCAATTGCTTTTACACATTTGGTTTCTTTCTCACATCTACAAGTTGTGTCAAAATAAACAGCAGAAAACAAATCCTTAATGTTATAATCCTGAAGCTTTCAGTCCCCAGGTCTGCATTAGCAATTACTTAATACAGCTCGGATATGGAGTTAAGAGAGTAAACAGTAAACAGTGAGGCTGATATCAATTAGATAGAATTAAAAACAGTTATGCTGAATTACAAGCCCGCATTTCCTGTGAATCCCCCCTGTGTAAGTAGGCAATTTGAATGCTGCATAGGGATGGCAGACTCTTCTGCTCAGACTTAACTACAGCATGTTCATGGTAAGGAAGGAACATGTTACCCAGTGTAACAGTGTAACTCACTGAGGTCTATGGCACAGAGGAATAAGATATATCAACCTTTGGATACACAGTCTTGTTAGTAGTAACTCATAGCTGGTTTTATTCTTTTCATGGGATTTGTTGACAATAAGAAGAATACATCTATAGTCCTATCCCTAAAATTCAGTTTCTCATTATGCATTATGCAAATAATGGTTTATAGTCAAATTTGGTTTTAATTGAGTCTTAATCCCAGATAATCCATAATTTGTATGTGTGGGAGGAACTCTGCAGATATTATTTTGCTTAATAACGAAATGAATCATAGATAATCCTATTTATGATGAGCGAGGCTGTTCTTTTCGGTTTCGGCTTTTTGGTGTGTGTGTGTGCGCGCGTGCGTGCGCGTGCGTGTGCGGAAGACTGAGTGAGAGAGCACCCTGTTGCTGTCTGTCTGTGTATGTGTGTGTCCTGTTTCATTGTCCCACTGCATTCATTACCCTCATCATTACCATATTTTCAAAAAATCCGGGTCAGTGTCTCTTTCTTTTTTTCTGTCTCTCA